TTGATATATTTGACTCAGCGTTATTGGTGCATGTCCACAATTAAGTGTATCGGGATACCCAGTGTGATGTACAGGGGAACCGATTATAATTCTTCAATACATATATTTTTCTTGGATTCCATAAAAAAGAACTGTTTTTTATTCTTACCTTTTCTTTATTGTTCTCAAACAAAAGCAAGCTTATTACCATACCTGGTGTACCCCCGGCGGCAGACAATATGGTTGGCATCCAGTCAACAGCGTGCATCATACTGGTGGAAGTATAAACGAGCACAGTTATATCAGACAACTAATGTGACTTACATATATATAAGAATTAACAATAACCCGATCGTCATCAATGCATGCATCCCTATACACATTCTACTTGTGTAATCAATCATTTCGCCTAAAGTTCGATTCATAACATAAACTATTTACATATCATTACACGATATCCCCATAACAGCGCATTTGATTGTATTGAGTTGATTGTATGACTTTACAATCACTGTATGTTAACGACACCGGATATTGCTATCAAGCCGGCGGAGATCACAAGAGTTTGACTGCAGTTGAAGGTGAGTTTTTTTCTATATGTTACTTACTGCAGAGGCTGTCAATACCTCACAGTTTCAGCGTTTACTTAAACCATAGAAAACATTCATATATGGGTCAATGTTTCTTTCAGACTTACAAACACGTCGTCTGGTATCGGCGAAAATTTATGAGTAATAACGATCACGTGTCTGAATTAACATTTGTAGTACCTCTCTCCACATATGTTACTGCCTACAACTAAATAAAGATGTATTTACATTACACACATTCATTGTGTCAGCGAAAGCATTGTATTAAATGAAATATCGTCAAAACTATTTCGTCGAACTTTACGGAAACTTGAATGTTTGTTTTTAGATTACTGTACGACAGCATGGAAATTGCAAGCCGCCGTACAATGCTTTGAAATTATGTCAGCATATTTCTCATAATTTACAACGAGTTCGAAAATACGATAAATGTTTACACNATTGAGACTGATATTTCTTGTATCGCAATGGTTTTATGTGTTAAAACTTAATCTTCTTACTTGTCATTATGAACTGAATTCTAAATAATCTTAACTATTATAACACTGTTCTAATTTGTAATGAATGTATTATACTTGTATAGCCAAATAACGAATCCTAATGTCAAAACGTTGTTTTTACAGCTTGAATAATAATAAAGAGAAAGACGATTCGTTGTGTTCACGAGATTGACCATGTTTAGTTTAAGGGAAACAGTATTATCTTAGAACAAGGGTAATGAATTATAAGTTTACCGAAGAATATTAACTGTAGCGATGGTTAGGCTTACGAGCTAGTGATATGGTCTTCTTGAGTAACTCAGTGCTCATATGTAGTTCCCATAACGCATTTTTCAAGGGAATATGATTGATGAAATTTTAGTACGGGAGAAAATAACGCTATTTTCTTTCTCTATTATGTGATCAGTTTAAATCCTATCAGGCATGATGTTATATAGATGAGGTATAATATCATTTGCATCATTTCCGATTTGACAGTGGATTGAATATCAGGATATACCCGATATAACAGTTACACGATGTGCGGTATGTGTGCGATGTGCTCACGAAGTGTGGACGATGTATGCTGGATGTGCGAACGATTGAAATCTGGACGATTATTGCTTTCGCACATTTGTGCGGACGATGGGCGAACGTTGTGCGATGATAATCGTGGTTGGTGTAAATTGAGAAACGAATGAAAATAACAAATACTTAACGCCCAGTTGTGCTTTCATAACGGTCATACAATATCACATGTCAACTCTCTATGTCAGGCAGGGGTCAGGTAAAACTCCGGTTAATCATATTTGTTTTATTTACCAGTTAATTAACCTGGAAGTTTAACCCATTCCTGATAGTCTAACGGTCACTGTAATGCTGTGTAACACGCATTGTAAAATTAAACATAATCCTAATTAAGTTGATGAGCAATTTATATATACAGTGTTCCTTATTCTATACGAGGGTTCCGGATTGTTTTCATTCCGTTATATTGATCAACCAATTCTACCAAATCGCACATTTGTGCGGAGAGAAGCGCGCAACGGGGCGAACGATTGTTAAATCGCACAGTTGTGCGCACTATGTGTGGAAGATGTGCGAACGGTGTATGCACGGTGTATGCACGGTGTATGTGTATGCACGGTGAATGCATGAGGTGCGAACACTTTTCTTGGTGCGTTGTGCGGTCCCACAACTGTACATGTATATTTAGTTTCAGTATCTTCGAACATGTTCGTATGTAATATAAAATTTGCTCTGACCCGTTATATGTATATCCTGTTTTTTCCAGTCCTTTTCCGCTGATAAAAGCTGTCGCCCGGGTATCGCCCTCGTATATAGTGACTTTCCCGCCTCGAAGTGGGTAGTTGTTACCGTGGTAGAGTGGCCATCCCCCATTCTATCAACACAAAAGATGAAAGATCAATCGGGGAAGTGATGATGAAATTAGTTTGAATTTTGATTTCTGGGTCGATCAAACTAGATACTAGTCTTTAACAAGTAACATCCTGACTTACGTCGTCAGTGAAAACAAAAATGGCGAGCAACAATTTACAATTAACTATAACCACTTACGTCGGAGGTGAAGATGAAGAGTGTGTCGTCATACATGCCATTTTCCTTCAGGGCGGCAGTCACATTCCCTACCAAGTCATCCATAGCCGTCACCATACCTTAACATATTATTCTATACATTCACAGCTAAACCAAAACATTTTAGGACATGTCTTTCCTTACAGTTGATGTAAAGAATGCAGATGCATTTTTGAGAGAATTTCCCTGTTATGGAACTTTTGTTTTCAAGGTTAAATAATAAAATACATCGATATATTTGTAAATATACATACGTAACTGAAACTATTTTATTTTGTTAAGTTTACAAGAAAGATATTGACTGTCTTAACTATAGTGTTGTTTAAAGATATGATAACATTGAATGTTGGGTTAAAAAATATAGAATATGTAAAAACCTAGTGAAGAATAAAAGCTGTTTATGTAACACAGCATCAATGCACTGATTTTCTGAGCTGCGCCAAGGCATGTATTATCAACCCATCTATAACTCACCAGAGTATTTCCTTCGCCCTTCATTCTTTATGTTGCTGTACATATTCTCATAACTTACGGGAACCTGAAATCAGTATTCATAATTTCTTACCGTCTTTGTCCTATATTTATGTTGGCACATACTGTCAAAAAGTATTAAATGAAAGTATAAAATTATTAACAGGGACAACGAAAATAATAGCATCAATTAATAAATTCCTAATTAAAAGCATTAATAGTGTATATCTTATGTAAGTTTATGGGATATGGATATTCTACCCCAGGGTGTAGAATATCCATATCCCACACACATATACCTACAGCATAATTGATTCCACCTCCCTCCCTCTCCCTTTCTTTATTAGCTCTCGTATATGGTATATTCGAACGAACAAACAGTTTGATCTTTAAATCATTTTTTTAATGATATTAAATGTTGTTTAATCAATAGTCATATCCCAATTTGGCCGAATGGTATTCATTATTACCATAACAGTATGACGTCATGATAATTACTGTGTCAACAATCGGAACATGCATGTCATATGGAGCACGTTAAAAAATGTACAGCCAGCCAATCAACCATATGGAGAATTGCTAAAAGCTTACATCTGACAGGTTTTGGTTTGAATAGCTTAGCGTATTGCCATACATTGACAAACAACTGAACCCTTATTTTGTTGGCATTCGGTGAACTGTGACAATACATTTAGTTATTATATTAATATAAAGTATGCAACCTCGATCGGCTGATGGACGGACTGGAATGGGAAGTACAGGTAGAATGGCTTGCTCTTGTCGTGTTTGGATATCACCTTCCGCGCACGATCGGCATAGACATACTGAAATTAAATTGCATTTCATTAAAAAAAAACATTTCTCCAAATGCCTCAGTGTCGAGGATAATACTAAGCATATAAGCGGAATGAACGTTATCGTTACTTAATCTGTGTCTATCAGGGACTAGGGTAGAACAGTTCATGAGCTCTCTTTGTGTCGTGTCACCAAGAAAAGGGTGCGCTAATTTGTTCAGCATTTTTGTCTGACTTGGAGTTGCTATACCAACATTACAGCTTAACACAGCTTTCTCCCATCATACATTTACAATTACATTACAAAAATGAGAATAGGCATAAACATGAAGTAGAAGATCTAATATTCACACAAACACAAATACACAACATTAAAAGACACCGTTGAAATAATATTGCTGAATTTGATAAAATGATGCACATGTCTTTAAACGTAACAGTTAAGGTCTGCAGAAAGATCTCAACCGACAAACAAAAGAAGCTCTAAATATGAATACTAAGGCATTCAAATGTTGAAACATAATACGCCTTACATTGCCAAAAAGTTGACTCTCAAAGAAAAAGTGAAAGGCTTATCTCACATGGATGTCGACAGATGCAAACAGAACTTCCAAGTAAATTCACTATAAAGGTCACTAGATAGGAGGGGTGGTTGTATATTTAAGTTAGGAGAATGTTTAAAAAACCTTTAGAAGACAACGATCGTACTGATGGACCTGACGAGTTCCAGCTTAACAGAGTTGAAGGTATAAGGAGAGACCAAATAGAGTATCTTGAAAGGCCCGCAACATAAATGTTCTTTGTACGAATAAAGAAAAAAAAAGAAGCGAAATAACTCTTCAATGCCTTGTATAAAACTAAATAGTGGAGCTATCTACCTAAAATATAAAGTATATTATAGATATTCATATTTAATCATTGTATAGCAAATGATAATTACAAAAAATGTAACTCATACAAGCATAAAATTAATGACTAACCTATAAAGCATTAAGCGTTAACAATATACATGCCCTGATCTACAACTTATTGCTGCAATGTCAATGTGTTTAGTCTTGAATATCAATTTGCCGATATTTAAAAGTACAACTAATTACTATATCCAGTAGAAAATTTACCTTTGCGTTCCAGTTCATTTAAACGTAAGGAACATAGGATATCCATTTTAGTTAGACGTTTTCAAGGTTCACCTTTGACCTAAATAGGGTTGAGTGTATTTGGGTTGTCATTGATTACTTTAATGGAACCTCGGGTGTATATAATAGATGGCATATGAAGTGTTTAAAGGTTACGTATACACTTACAGTTGAATATTTCGTGGTATCCGGCATAAAGGGTTGTTTATCGTCCCTGAAATCCTTTCCACCAGCTGTTTCAAACACACCAATTAGTTTTTAATTGCATTGTCATCAAGGATGTACACCTCTGGAGAAGTCAAAACCTTCCTGTATTAAACCTTTTTCTCATATACACTTTTGGAAAATTGAATTAATAGCTGAGCAAAAATTGCAAAAAGAATTGTGCCGTGTGCTCGTTTTTGTGCTTTGATCGGTCAAAGATACCAATTTGAGATAATATGTGGTTTTAAGTGAATTTTGCTGTTTTGACCATTTGCAGGACACAATCATCATACAATATCTACATATAATAGTGTGTTATCAGATATGTATGAATAAACTCCTTTAACTAAGTCTTTTATCTCAGAAAATCAATTTAAGTTACTCCCACCCCTAATTTGTTAATGACAAACTACTATTTTTTTCATCATTTTTTTGCAGATTTAACGCTTGACATAAAAAGTTTTTAAATATTTAGCAGATCAAAAGAAAATTGGTTTCTCTTTCAAAAACAGCCATAAAAACGGGGAATGCTTCTTTTTTTGTCCTATTATGACTTGTGTTTTTTTCACCATTTCGGGGTCAATAATTAAAAGTGCTCCAGTTACACTTATTATGTAAAATAAAATACGAAGAATGTATAGTTTTTTCCACCTTGATACTTATTATGTTCATAACATTGACATTATAAAGTTATACAGCGAAAATGAATTTGCTACAATTAAAAATGGCGACACACTGACGATTTAAGTGATCAATCTAGCTTTAAAAAGGTGAGTTTTTCGCTGTTCGTGAAGCGCAAGAAATACACAAAAAATATACATTTTCAAAATGGCCGAAAATTTGGTCAACATATATCTAGATATTTGACTTATTTTCAGATGCGCGTTGGCTATTAAAATTAATTATACTTTGTTAAATATTACAAAAAAAACAACCTTACACGAGATAAAAAGAGACTTGACCGTGATTGAAAGATCAGAAGATTACATCCTTAATGCGTGTTTCATTAGTGAATAAATACCATGTTATCTAAATGTTATATATGTAGAATAGAGATTGATACGAGTTTGAGATTTTATTATCACATGCGTCCCATAAATATCAAAACTGTCACATTTATTGGGAAAAGTTAAGGAAAGGAAAACCAACACAACTTTATTAATATCGTATTTCCAGTTTTTGATGTAGTTACATTGTGTGACGTCACAATGTGGTAAGGAAACAATTAACCTGTCACGTATAACATTAGAGATAATAAAATCCGACCCGTACATGTATGAGTAGAATAGACTTACCCATAGATCTGTTATAGTAATGCTCATGGCCCAGGTAAAATCCATAGAACGAGTCAAATCCTCGGTACGTCGGGGTACATTCCCACTTACAGAATCCCAGATGCCATCTGGAAATATATAATCATTTCATTTTTTCACGACATGATACAAACTTATATCCAGCAAAACAAGTTGAAAAATAATACAATAGCGTCGACAAAATCGCTAAACAATGTTGGTGCGGAAAGCTAGCAAGATGTACATTGGAGATTCCAAAATGACTACGTGGAATATATTGTACTCAAACAAGTAGTAAGTATTGTTCTTAGCTATAATTATTCATTGGAACTTGTGTACAAACATATATTTACATCGATCCATTCTTCAGCTTAGTAAACTCGGACTGTGTACACGCAATGAAAAAAAGGCTCGGCGGATTGATACCTATATCAAATATGGCGCCCTTCTCGTTCAGCGAGATAACTGTTTGATGACAGCCATTGTTTTGTTCCTTCAACATCTAGAAGCGTGAGACATATTCGGAATCCATTATGTCTGTTTATACAACAAAGGGATGCTGGCAAACTTCTTATTCCATGGATGCACATTCAACATATTTTGTAAAGTAAATAATGGCGGCTTCTGTTTGCGACGTTCGACCGCATCACTACCAGACAAGTGTGTCAATGCGTGTACATAACGACCGTTTTAAATGAATAAAAATGTTCGAAGTGCTACTTATATTACTTAATTAAAGATTTTACTGCAATATAGAGAAGAAAAATAGTGTTGTTCACTGCGTACTTTATAAATTTACCCATATATCGATGTAGATTTACTGGAACTACGGCTTCCAAAGTTGCCATCGTAGCAACCGGCTTCGACTGTTTTCTTCTTTGTATAGCATTCGTTCATTATTTATGATGTAAACATAAGTATTAACCTTCGTTTTGACGGCGTATACGGTAGTATGAACGCAGTTGGCAACGAACATCTTCTTTATGGAGCGCTAGAGCGCACCATAGACAATAGTCGTTGCCAACTGCGTTCATACTACCGTATATGCCGTCAAAATGAAGGTAAATCCTTAAATGCACTATACCAAAGAATAGATAATAGCCAGGGAAATATGAATGATGACAGAGTGTATTATTTTAAGAAAGTGTTCGCAGATATCAAATAGAAAACAAAAATAGTGTCCATACACAACGTCAGTATTGTAACTCCAGAGTTGTTAAGACAATAGAAACATGTCATTTGTAGACAGCAATACAAAAACACAAAAGGAAAGTAACCACCACCAGCCTTCTCTTGCGAAACTAACAGTGTTTCCTCTGTCTTAGATGTGTTATTTGTTTCTTATAGAGTCGTATTATCGCCAATATCTATTCGTTGTTATAGATACACATATCTGGAACGATTAAAAAGCAAAAAATATCACTTTTAAGCAAAATTGCTTATTATTGTAATAACAGCGAGAACATAATGTACAGCTTTATCGTCGTGTACTCATCATCACAATCTGCTTTAGATGTGGTCACAGCATCCACAGTCAGACGAGACGGACGTGATAGCGATTTACGTGAGGTATACTTACTTTCCTATGGCGTGGGTTTCATATCCCAGTTTCTTTAGGTATTGGGGGAGGAAAGGTTTATTGAAGGGCGAACACACTGCTTGCTGAGCCATCAGAGCTCCATGCTAATGTAAAAAGAAATAATACAAATTGAAATGAGCTTTTTATTATACTTATGTCATTTTCACATATCATAGATATATTTGTTTGCATACATTTAACTATATCAGTGTGTACTGAAAGACATTATGACTTTTGAAAGTGTAAGATAGGTATCAATAGAAAGTTTAAAGACATACACTTAAATGCAATGTTTATACGATATTGAAGAATAGTATTACCTGAAGTCCAGCTTTGAAAGGATACACCCCCGTCATGAAAGCATTCCGGGACCTGATATTAGTAACATGTTGTCGTCATTCACGTTGATCATACAAACAAGTGTTGTTTATGACTTGTTTCGGTAATATAAATGATTAGTTTTCTATAATAAATTTGATTAATTCATTTATAGGGTCTTAAAGATATAGTAACCTTATATACATATATATTGTTATATAGTAGTCGTGGAAGAGTAAGTTCACTTACAAAAAATGTTCACGCCAAGATACAGTAAAGTATAAGGATAACGGCCTATCAGTACAAAGCCTTGTCATCATGAAGATCCCGAAGCGCTTGCAAACTATAAGTTTGGTAAACTGTTTCTGTATCTCTTAAACGATATGAATTCGTTATAATCAACGTGAAAACAGTTCCCGTTGGAAAAAGTCCGAGGACAAAAATCTATTTGTCATAATAAAGCCATACTCACGGTGTACATAGGGGTTGTACGTAGGACTGGTTAAGTATGACTCCCTCGTACGCCAGCTTGTCAATGTTTGGGGTGATCATGTCGGGGTTACGAAACCCTACATCGTTCCAGCCTTTAAACGACGGTTATCATTGCTAATAATTATAATATGTATATATATAATACTATAAAACAAAATACAAAGAGATTCTAAGTACCTCCCAAACGCGTTCACCTCTTGAGAGGTTCATCAAAGGAACTGTATTATACTATATATATAATAATGTCCTTTTCGCCATAGAAACACTGACAAATTATCTATTGGATGAAGTATTTTTAATAAAGTGAAATGAAATGTAGACTTTTTGTACGGATGGTCTCCCTTGTGGCACGTTTTCTAATTCAACACTCAAATTCACTTTACTTTTGAAATAGTAGAAAGGTTTTATGTCACCGTATGTGGACAAAAGTTTGGATCTGTATATTAAAATATTCATACGATTTGTATGAGGCCCAACGCTGTATTGGTAAAGTTTAGATTTTTCACTGTCCAGAGCACAAGGACCTGATAATTTGTTACATATATATATTTGGACCTAAAATAAGGGTGTTCAGAGTACGTTTACATGTTTTTGGGTTGGTATCGACTTTCAGTAAAAATGACACTCATATATATGAGCATTCGTGGTGTCATTTACTCTGAACACCTTAGTTTACATGTAGGTCCAAATTTAGCTATAACAAATTCTCAGGTCCCTGTGGTCCAGAGTATACCGGGTATATGTCGTCACTTCTAATTACTATACATAAACAAGCCTGACCTACATTAAAAACAGACATATAATTATCTTAAAACCCCCCAGGAAATATTAGATGCTTACCGTAATCATCGGCTACCATGAACACTATATTCGGTTGTTTGGCATCCCTGCCACCGATCAGCAGTAACAGCGTCAAAGCACACAGAACAGGTAATATTAGAAACATCTCCATATTACTCCAACATATGTTCGTTGCTTTTGACTAGCTATACTACGTACCCTCCAAATATATAACACAATCTTTATCACCGAAGACAATCTCGTCATGTGAGCATCGACACACTCATTGAACAATGCAGACTATTTTTCATTCGTCGTTACTAATCACCTTACCGACAACATTAATACACGTGGTTTGTTCACCGAATGGAACCAAACTATTTACAATCAGACTCTATTTCGCAATATATTGCACTGTTTTAGGCCTACAATATCAGATGTCAATTATATGACCAAGAACAAGTTTTTGTTACGTTTAGACTGCTAGGCTTCTGTGACAAGCTTGCATATCCATAGACTCTATTTTCAAATTATGTAAGTTTTTCAATCATTTAAAATTAACAATGGATGTGGTAATAGCGCAATTAACGTGTAAATTAGGTATTAGTATTATGAATTTATTTTGGTATTGATGAAAAATCACTTGTATTTAGACACAGGAAGATAAATGTTTAATTTATATATTCATAAACTATGTCAAAAATGTATGAAATAGTTTTAGTAACAGATAAATCACTTAAATATCAGAAGACAGGTTTTTGTTTTATATATTTCTATGTCGCATACTCAGGGATATCACATGCGGAGTGAACACCCAACAGGATTTCTTTTTAATTTTAACATGCCACTAAAAAGGACCACACCTAGCTTTATTCGAAGATTTGCACTAGAAATTATATAGCGGATTACATGTGCATGTTTAATAAAAACTCTCTTAAATTTCTTTATCAGCAAATATAAGTTTACAAAGAGACTGTTCGGGCGACCTCTACTAGGGTTACACACCCTGTTCATGTATCCTTGAACGTTATCATTTGGAAACCATAGGTAGGTTTTATGTTATAGTCTTCATCACGAGACTACACGTGTGTTTCTATGTCATAACACAAACAGTCGCGTGACGCTTGTTCAGAATTTATTTTTATCAAAACATGAATTAGTTCGACATCGTCTTGAAGTATATTTGCTTCAAATCGATTATTTGGTCCAATAGATTGATGCTATTTATGACTTTAGTTAAATGAATGCGGTTTTATATCACAGAGCTCATCTATGTAACACGTTTTATCTTTTGTCACAAATGGTGAAAATCGAATAACTAAATTTTTGTGTGATACATAACTCTCGCATACAGTTCCATGCTACAGAATAATCTCAAGGAACTATCACATTATTATGTTTATTTATTTTCGACTCGATAATGACAAAACAAGTGTCAAAAATTGATTTGTGTGTTCATCGAGCAAAAAAACCAACAACATTATACCACCGAGTCCTTGTGTTAGAATATGATTCAAATTTCCTTACTTTAGTTAATAATGTTAAATATACCTTTTTGTTCTTATGGGTCAACTTTCTTACGATTTTAGAACTTAATATATAAACGTCGCTGGTGTAAAATAAGTAATGCGTTAGTAATGTATACTAAAACATTCTTAAGCTCGTTCCTAAAGCATCTGTAATCCCTTGATAAACTTGAAATAACCTTCATTACATATTTCCTAACCAGGAGCACCAAGCTTTATATATGTATGTAATGACGTCATTTGACGTAAACATTTGCCTGTAATAGTTTTCTGTTCATGATGTTACCGAAGAAAACTTGAAGTGTCTCACCCTTTTTTTGTAGGGGATTCCCATAGAGAACATCAATGATTTGTCATGGTAGTTTCAGACAGGCGGTCCTTGTTTATACTTTTAAGTCAGGTTCTTTGCATGATTTATGTTGTGTTTTGAGTTTGGTTATATATCATAAACACAGAATACCACAGCATCACTGTAACATAGGCGAAGATTGACCTGTGTAATCTTCAAAGGTAACTTTCACGTGGTGAATTAATCACAGGTTTTCCAGTGGTTTTCCATGTCAATTAAATTGATTGTATACAGTGTTTTGTAATGAGTATATGAAGGGACTCAATGAGACTACGCCTGATTGAACGACAGCAGGTAAAATCGTATCAGTATGTTTTCAATGTCGACCCATTCTATAACCCAGGGTTAAAAAGTGTGTACATGGTAGGCGTACCTGCTAGATAAAATGTAGACATTTACGTTATTTATCATTATTTGTTTTCATATTATTCCCGACAAGTGATTCGCCAGGAGTGCATCAGGTGTTCACCGACAAAAACCGATAATGACTTGGAGCGCGTGATTGTTGTTGAAGGACTGTGTTTTTCTAAAAATAAAATGATGAGGTGTATCCAAACAATGCACCGTCCCACTTCCGAAGGTAGTTTTTTTTTTTTTTTTTTTCAAATTGCTTACATTACTGTTTTGTAAAATAATAAAACAATTATAGCCTTTAACTTCGGTCAATACCGGGATGTATCGCCCTCAGCCTAAGCCAAAGTGTGTGGTATATTGTCCGTGTGCATATCATTTAATTGTAGCCTTTAACTGTGTAACGTTGTGATATTATATTGTCCGTGTGTGTTGACGATGGAGAACATTGTTCGTTTGTGTTGAAGTTTTTATATACATGTATTGTCTGTGTGTGTTGACGATGTTGTATATTGTCTGTGTGTGTTGACGTTTTGATATACATGAATTGTCTGTGTGTGTTGACGATGTGGTATATTGTCCGTGTGTGTTGACGTTGTGATATACATGTATTGTCTGTGTGTGTTGACGATGTGGTATATTGTTTGTGTGTGTTGACGTTGTGATATACATGTATTGTCGGTGTGTGTTGGCGTTCTGGTATATTGTTTCTGTGTGTTGACGTTTTGATACACATAGATTGTCCGTGTTTGTTCACGGTGTTGTATACTGTTCGTGTGTGGTGACGATGTTGTATATTGTATGTGTGTGCTGACGGTGTGTTATATTTTTCGAGTGTGTTCACGGTGTGGTTAATTGTCCATGTCTGTTAACGGTGTGGTATATTGTCTGTGTGTGTTGACGGTGTGGTATATTGTCCGTGTGTGTTGACGGTGTGGTATATTGTCCGTGTGTGTTGACGGTGTGGTATATTGTCAGTGTGTGTTGACGGTGTGTTATATTAATAAAAATATTAATAATATACAACATTTGATATAGAGCCCTATCTAGCTAACATAAGCCACTCTAAAGCGCTTTACAGTACAATGATATACAATTAATACAATAAGCATATACATTAATCAATACAATTTTCAGGAATTCGCAGAGGCTGCCTTATCAGGCATTAACTACTAGTGCTATGCCACCTGGCTATTATCTCCCCATGTGTGTATGCCTGTGTGGGTGCTGGATATGTAATGTGTTGCCCGTGTGTGTTGACAGTGTAGTATATTGTCCGTGTGTGCTGACGGTGTAGAATATTTTCCGATTGTGTTGACGGTGTGGTATATCGTCCGTGTATGTTGACGGNTCCGTGTGTGTTGACGGTGTTGTATATTTTCCGTGTGTGTTGACGGTGTGGTACATGTATATTGTCCGTGTGTGTTGACGGTGTGGTATATTGTCCATGTGTTGGACGGCGTGGTATATTGTCCGTGTGTGCTGACGGTGTAGAATATTTTCCGAGTGTGTTGACGGTGTGGTACATCGTCCGTGTATGTTGACAGTGTAGAATGTTTTCCGAGTGTGTTGACGGAGTGGTATATTGTTCATGTTTGTTGACGGTGTGGTATATTGTTCATGTTTGTTGACGGTGTGGTATATTGTCCGTGTGTACTGACCGTGTGGTATATTGTCCGTGTGTATTGACGGTGTGGTATATTGTCCATGTGTGTAGACAGTGTAGAATGTTTTCCGAGTGTGTTGACGGAGTGGTATATTGCCGGTGTGTGTTGACAGAAGGTATATTGTCCATGTGTGTAGACGGTGTTATATATTTCCATGTGTGGGACGGCGTGGTATATTGTCGGTGTGTGTTGACTGTGTAGAATATTGTCGGTGTTTGTTGACGGTCTGGTATAGTGTCTGTGTGTGTTGACGGTTTGGTATATTGTCCATGTATGGGAAGGTGTGGTATATTTTCCGTGTGTGTTGACGGAGTGGTATATTGTCCGTGTGTGTTGACGTTATTTTACTTGTGTATTTGTCATTGAGTGTTAAAGATGTGGTCTATTTCTCTTACGTTTTGTATATTGTACATGGAAGGCGTACCTGCTAGATAAAATGTAGACATTTAGTAAACAAATAACATTTAAAATGCAAACGGACGGGAACGATTATTAGGCCCAGTTTTGCTGAATATCCTAAAAGGTGTTGTTCAATAACGGTTTGTGGTATTTAATTTAATCAATATATCTACTTATTCAATAATTTTAGATTAGACGTGGCCATAAAAAGTGGCAATGTGTGTTGACGTTTTGGTATTGTCTGTGTATGTTAACGGTGTATGTTTTCCGAGTGTCTAGTATATTGTCCCTGAGTGTTAACGGTGTGGTATATTGTCCGAGTGTGTTGACGGGTAGAACATTGTCCGTGTGTTTTGACGACACACTAGTCTCTACCAGCAATTATCTTCATGTAAACATGGCTTTTTTCTCAACGTAACACCCCGTTTTCCGAAGATGTACTACATGTAGCATAACGAGTTCTATAGTCCTATGGGATATCTTTGACGGTAACGAAAGCAATTGCGGCTTCGTTCCGAAACATTCGACCGCGTCACTTCTTAAACAGTGTGTCAATGAGCGTAAATGCTCAGTTGTAACGGGTTAAATGTTCGAAAGGCTTCTCACATTGCTTAATTTAAAATTTAAAAGCTATGAAAGGATAAAAAAAGTGTTAGTCACTGTGAATTATCTTAATTAACTGATAAATCGGTGTAGATTCACTGGAACTATTTTAGTATAGCAACCCGGGTACCGTAGTTACAATCTTAGCAACCCACAGCCAAAAAATGTTTTTGCTTATTGTAGCAATTGAAAACTTTTTGGATGTAAGTATAAGGATTGACCTTCATTTTGACGGCGAGTATATACTGTTGTATGAACCCTGTTTGCAACGAACATATTCTTTATGGAGCGCTAACGCGCACCATATACTATGTTCGTTGTCAACTGCGTGCGTACTACCGTATACGGCGTCAAAATGAAGGTAAATCCTTAAATTTACATAAACATTAATAC